CTACTTTAATTTTAAAGTTTTTTTTTTTTTTTTTTTTTTTTTTTTTTTTTTTTTGAAAGTTTTAAGATTGTTACATTCTCCCCCCTTAAAGAAATTTAGTCCTCTAAATTTATGTACCTGATTACTGAAAAAGATAGGGATATTTTTCTCTGATATCGTCTTCTCGTTCTCAAGTCGACTCTTCTCTTAAATGGTACTGCTATAATACACGAACTAAAAGAATCTCCTTCTTGCACAACACTTGTACCTTTATATCCAGTATCAAAATTGGCTGCTCAATAAAAGATAGGTCCTTTCTGATAAGTAAAAGTTCATATTTCCATATATGAGATGGGTCGGGCTGTCCAAAATTTGAACCCACCCGTCAAATTTGGACTCATGCACGGACCATGTATATACCCCTTGGATCCCGGGTCTAGTCGGGACCACTGCCACACCTAAATTGAATACTCAAGCAAGACGAGGCGGAGTCAGCAGCTCGTTTGCCACAGCCGGATGTTAGAACGCAACATTGTTGCAGATCAGTGGCCGCAAGAGAGAGAGTGAGAGTTTGAAATGGAGAATGGGCAGCGTGAAGAGGAGGGTGAACACAGGGTTGAAGCATGGTTTTCTGTACCGGATCTTCGCATGCGTGACCATACATTCAGAGTACCTCTTGATTACACTGCCATTTCTCTAACCTCCAAAATTTCCATCTTTGTCCGAGAAGTAGTTGCTGGTAACAATATCCTCTGTTTAGTTATTGAGCTTTAATAGTATTCAATGGAGAATGATGGCTAAATCACTATCAATTAATACTGCATATGGTGTTATATCACTTTTGACTTTTGACCCATCCAAATTTGTGTAATTGTTTCGATGAAATATGCCTGTTAAATTGTGTTACCATTCATTATGATCCCTCTGCTTCTTTTCACTGTGAAAGAAATGACAATGGCCAAGTGACAAGCGTAGCCTGTATTTATTGGTACCTTCTTGAGACCATACCAGGATTTAGTCAGTCTGCATTTAGAACTATGAAGTTTATGATTAACAAACTTTTGTGACTCCTCTGCAATTAACCTCCATCAAGTTTCTATGGAGAAACAAAAGCTTTACATTACCTGTCTAAAACAACTGTTGGAGCTTAAAGTTAGCCCTAAACCTCCCAGACTTCATCACTTGTTTGAATTGTTCTTCATATCTCAGAATATGATGTTGGCTGGGCTTGCATAGTTTGTTTCCAACTTGTGTACAATGTGAATGTTAGAGCTGATTTAGCATTCAAAAGGAAAGAAAAAGAAAAAGGTGAAAGTTACAGCTGACTTAAGATTCCAAAAAAAAAAAGAAGTGAAAAGTTAGAGCTGACTTTTGACCTGTGAATTACAGTAGAAGCATATTTTTCTTTCCTTTTGCCTCTAGCTACTAGAAGGTGGTGGTGTTAATAAGCGATAGTTTCACCTTTGAGTTTGTGGAGAAGCTATTTGTCGTACTGGTCTATGAAAATCTAGATAATTTCCCATACATGATATTTTTTACAGTTGGGAAGGAAGAACAAGAACTACCTTATCTCCTATACCTACAAGGTGGACCGGGCTTTGAAAGTCCACGACCAACTGAAGCTAGTGGATGGTTAAAGAGAGCATGTGAAGAGTTTTGTGTTATTTTACTTGATCAGGCAAGGTTAACAAGATGCCCTTCAGTCTGGCCCTCAACTTTTTATGTCATTTATCTATATCATCATTCTAAAGTGCTTGATATTTCTGGTTTTTGCAGAGAGGGACAGGCTTATCAACTCCTTTGACTGTATCATCTCTTTCTCAAATAACCTCTCCTGAGGAGCAGGTGGACTACTTGAGGCATTTCCGTGCAGACAATATAGTGAATGATGCAGAGTTTGTTCGTGTACATCTTGTCCCAAAAGCTGAACCTTGGACAGTACTAGGGCAGGTGTGCTCCATGTAATCTCCAACATGTATCGAGCTGTGTAAAATTAATTCATTCAGCTTGTTGCTTTTCTTGTCTAATTTCTTTTCTATATTGACTCTATATGGAAGCCAGATAGTATGTTTTTCCTTTTGTATTATTCACCTTTTGCCTTTAATATTCATCAAGGTATTATGTGTGGCTATAACATCCTTCTTTTGGTGCTCTCTTAATTATATCACGTATCAACATGAGCGTTGGTGGTGAATTGGGTCGGAAAAAACTAGAAGAAATGGGTTTCTGTAACAAACTTCATCAAGAAAAGATGATTTTTTCTGTTCACATGGCAATAGTACAAGAAAGTTTCCACACAAATTATTCTTGACCTTTATGCTCCCGGCTTTCTTTTTTTTGTCTGCACCTTTTTTTTGTCTGCACCCTTGTGAAAATAAAAATTTGATAATTGGAGGACACCCAATTATTTTTATTTGCGTAGAGCTATGGGGTTTTCATGGAAAACTTCCTCAAGAAAAGAAGACAATAGAACTAGACAAGATTCCTCACAAATTATTCTTTACCTCTTTGTTTTCAGCTTGCTCTTTTTTGTCTGTATTTTATTGGATTGTACCCTTATGAGAATAAATATTTGATAAGTTGGGGACACCTCATTCTTTTTATTTGTGTAGAGCTATGGAGGTTTCTGTGCAGTTACCTATTTGAGTTTCGCTCCGCATGGCCTAAAGTCTGTTCTTTTAACTGGTGGACTGCCCCCTATCGGAAATGAATGCACTGCTGATACCGTATATAGAGCTTGCTTTGAACAGATTCGGCAGCAGAATGAGAAATACTATAAGAGATTCCCTCAAGACATTGAAATTGTTCGTGAAGTTGTAAAGTACTTGGCAGATTGTGAAGGATGTGGGGTGAGTCGTCGTAGTTTAAAGTTGTCTCTTGCTGCTGTAGTAACGAGAGGTTAATGCTCACTGAGGGTCAATTATTTTCCTTTGTAGGTGCCACTTCCATCTGGGGGCAAATTAACCTGTAGGGGATTGCAACTTCTTGGCCTTTCAGGCTTGGGGTCTAGTACTGGTTTCGAACGCCTGCACTACCTGTACATGCAATTTACTCTCCATGATACATTTCATTCTAAAAGTTTTTGGTACACTGACATGCTTATTTATATTAGTCTTATTTCCATAGGTTTGAAAGGGTGTGGGATCCTACTTTAGTGCCAGGAGCAAAAAAGCATATCAGCTACTACTTCTTGAAGAGTGTAAGATGATTCTGCATCTAAATATTGTGATATTAATGAAAAGCTTTAGAAATGTCTTGTTAATCTCTTCATCTTGAGAATGGAGAAATCTTGCCTCCTATTTGTTGATTGTTTATTTCTCTTTTCATCAAGGTTTTAAAACTTGGCTGCGTCGACTTGGATTCTGCCTAGTTACTCAGATTTGTTGCCTTGTCGAGATGAGCCCTGGGTACAAAGCTAGATATATAAAAAATAAAGTTACAAAATTATTATTTTTTGATCTAAGTATATAATTTTGTTTATATGTATTTTTTATTTTTTAATGATGATTCGTGAGTTTTTCTTATCGCATGTTCCATTTTTCTATTTTCCCGTTTTCTGGATTTTTTTAATTGATTTTAGCAATAAATCAACTTTTTCCAAATTCCATATTTTATATAATTTTTCCATCTTTTTAAGACTTTTGTCAATGCTGTTTATAGTTTACTTTGCTGTTTATGATTTTTTAACAAATAAATCTGTAATTTGTTTTCAAATTTTTAGTCCTTTTTGGGCTTGTACATAACTCGGGTGTGTCCACTCAGACTAACCCACGTTCTCACTTCGGGCAGGTGGCATTCTTTCATACTGCTTTTCGTAGAAATCATAACACATCTAAACCACTGCAATACTTCTAGATGATAACATGTTAGTCTATAATAACTATTTTTAGTTTCATTGTGATGGAATGACTGAAGACAAAGTTGTAATCTCTGAAATAGCTAGTGGTTATTCGATAATTATGTCATAGGTGATTATAATCTACTTCTTTGGTGAAGCTCGTGCACATTTATTGGACTATATCTTTGTTGCATATGCAAATTGACTTGCGGAACTACGAAATGGTTCTAGCTGACCATAATGGACTGAGGGATTGTATTTATGGGATGTGATTTAGAATGAATTTTGAAACATATTTTTTCTGGTAAAAGGTGATTATTAAATTAATAAACTAGAATACAATTCATGGACGATGATGAAGAAAGTATCATATGAGTGGAACTAAACTTTGATTGTATCCCAAATAGAAATCATGATTGTAGCCCATATGGAAAACATGAACATAGGAAATATGAGGAGAATCCTGGGATCATTTTGGTGAGATGATACTTACCTTCTTAGACCCTGCTGTTGTGACTGATACGGTGTTGGCACTTTTGTCAGGGATACATCCTATAGATGATCTATAGATCCAAGATGGAATTCAATATCATTCGGAGAGTTTCACTCACTGTAATGGATTGGGTTTTATTGACCATCTGGATATGGAATTTCATGGATCGGTAATTTATAGAACAAATTTATTGTAAACCTTGCAATTTTGATGACGCCAACAATGAGATGCAAAAGAGGAATGTTAAAAAATTGTGGCACGTACATCCAGAACTAACTAAAAAATGGGATATATCACTCAGAAGTATCTAAAAATTATTAAATGAGGCAAATTGCAGTACACCTGTGTTACATCTGGAGTCAAAACAATTCATAATGCATATTAAATATGTCAACCTGAACTAGGTTAGTGGGAGTTATAACAAGGCTAAAGTGGTTAGGAACCTCAAAAATATTGAGCATGCAGGGCTGAAAAATGGGAAGCATCCCCAAGATAATACAAGAGGGAAATTCTTGAAGTTCTTGATAGAAGCTAGTGCAAGGTTGCTGCCGTAGGTCTTTAGTCCCTCTATGCATGAAGAATAAGATGTGGTTAATTTTTAAAACCAATAGAATGGGAAACCTGGCTGTACTAGAAAGTTCCAAACCTAGTTTTGAAAGGAAAATAAGCAGGGATGGAGTGTGGATGCTGAATAAAAGCCTAGCTCTCGTGAACTCTCTTACCCTGTGAAGACATGAACCCTTGGGTAGAATCAAGGTTTCCCTCCCACCGTCCCCGTTTAAATTGAAAGACGTGTTATCCCTTGTATAAAACTGAATATGACTAAACTATTCTTGTGGTACGAGGAATAGAAAAGGAACATGCTGCCGTTATAAGCAAATATGTCTAAAATTTATGTATGGGATTAAAGAAATAATAGAACTTACTAATTTTAATGCCATTGAACTAGGTCATTCAGCGGTTAGTAATATGTAACAGGGTTTTTTGTGTTTCTGGCTTCTGAATTCACACTAAGTTCATAAACTGATTGCATAATTTCATTGACCACATGCAGAGGGAGAATGAGGTTTAGATGAGATATTTGTGATGAGTTAGAATTGCTTTGTAAATATCTTACACCACCACATGGAGTTTATTGGCACCACACAGATAGCAGTACAGAACATTTTGAGGTGCATTGTCTTCTGTTTATTCTGCTGACTGAATGTTGTATTATCTTGCAGTATGAGAAATGGCTGGCATTCGATACAAATCCCCTCTATGCTCTATTGCATGAATCCATATATTGCCAAGTAAACATCTCTTTCCTTTCTTGTGGCAAAAGATCTCAATGATAAGTATCTGTGGCATAGTCTTTTCTCTTTTTATTTTTTTATTAATATTATTTGATAGAGAAGATCAGAATCTGAATGCTGTATATTGCGTTTCGGAAACTAATAGGGTGCTTCATCACGATGGTCTGCTCATAGAATAACAGCCGAATTTGAAGATGCATTTGATGCAGTCATGTCAGCTAATGGTATCCGTCCTGTGTTCTTCTTGGGAGAGGTATACATTAAGAATATTGATGTTTTAGATTTGTAAACATGGATTCTATTGTTCTGATCTTGGTGTTCTACAAAAATGTTTTCATCCTTTTGTGTGTCATGACAGCTATTCATGCATTGAGCATGATCCATTAAGTGTGTTAGGAATCTCATTTGAAATTGCATATGATCCTGGTCAAAGGGTTAACTTAATCGACTTGAGGCTAATACTACCAAACTCTGGTTCCCTCCATTGTCCCCTCTATCATCTTGCATGAAATCCATCCCTGGTGGCAGTTGACATGGGACGTGGGTTCCTAAACTATACAGCATATTCATTTGACATCTCTCTGATGTTTTTTATCATTTTATGTATCCAATTTTGACAATCATCTTTGGACTTGCTGCAGAAAACTGCAACATGTGTGTTTGTGCATGTATGTATACTTATGTAAAAAGATAATATAGGTCAAATGGCTCAAATTGAATATGGGAGATTTGGACGGACAAACAATGCATGGTGGTATTTGTTATAAGGTAGTTTTGATTGACTTAGCCCCGGGCACGAATAAGGAATGAGCCAGTCGCAACCTGGTCCTGTCGGTACCAAAAATGCCTGCGGACTATGGAAACACTGATCAAGTGAAGCTGTTTTTGAAAAGCTGGTAGAATGATCCCAAAATTTGTAATATAGTGGCTTGAGGTGTTTTAAGGATCCTCGCCAAATTTCAGCCCAATCAGACGAGTTTAAGATCGTTAAGGACGAAATCTGGTTAAAAAATTCAGCTCCTATCGCCCTAAAAAATACCACATAACTAGAGCCCTAATTTTTATGCCTCAGATGAGCACCAGACCACCACCATTGGATTCAAAAGGTCCAAAAACCCATGTGTACCAAATTTCAGCCCATTCGGACACTTCTAGACCCCCTTATGCCCAATTTACCCAAAATGAGTAGGTTTTACACTATTTTGGTAGGCTGCAAGGAACCAGTTTTCATCTGCTACTTTTGAGCTCAGGATTGATTTTTGAATGACCATATCTCCCGTATCTGGTCGAGCCCAAATTTCAGGGCAAGGTTCGTCTCGACGACGCTCATTTTGATATAAAATTTGCCTCGAGATGATGAGCGGATGAAGAGAATTCATAGAGAGAAGTTTGGCTCGAAATTGAATGGTTTGAAAAGAGAAAATGGTGTTTGATCAAGTGGGCATAGTTTGAGATCCCAACATCGGATCGTCATGAAAATGGATGCATTGCAAGACGAACAATATGAGGTAAAATTCAAGCGAGATGAAGAGTCGGATTGAGCACAATTTAAAGATGAAAATGGCACGTTTTTCGGTTGCCGGAATCCTATTTTCTAGCGACTTTCCAAATTGGGAACAAGTTCAAATGACCATCAATTTTGACGATTTTTATCATAAAATGACCGTGATGCGATCCTATCCAAGTTGTAATGAAGAAATTTTCCGGAAACATGACGGATTAGCCTATACGAAGAATTGAAGGTTTCCATGTTCTTAAAGATGGTCGGATTTTTTATTGCCATCAAAAAGTACGATTTGGGCTTCAAAATGGATATCAAAACGATTGTCATAAATTGAATATCATTTCTACGACGATGGATCGTCTGAACGGCCATCAAAAAGCTCCCGAAGTGCCCCTGGATGGTGTCCATGGCTTAGGCCTTCTTCAAAGGGGACCAATTGGTCATTTCTTGCATTGTGTGAAGGGGTATTTTGGTCATTTTTCACTAATACCAAATTACATTTTAATTCAAGAAAAATGCTATTTTTATCAAATTTGGTCTATTTTTAGCATCCACCCATGGTTTGGTGGATGCCTATAAATAGATGTGACCTCATTGTGTAACTTCTTCTAGGAAAAATTACGAAATATTTGAGTGAGACTTCAATTTTTGGTTTTATTCTTTAAGGGAGAATTTTTTTTAGAGAGAGAAATGCCCCTTGGAGTTCCAAACTCATCATCTCACTTAGCCCACCAAAGGGTCCACACCGAGCCAAGCCAAGGACTCGAGCCCACTTAGGAATATAAAGGAAGCAGAGCAAGGATAAGGAAAGGGAGTTGAACTCAAACAAAGCTGCAGAAGCTTGGGAGGCTTTCTCCAAAGATCTAAGAGGGCAACTTTTACCGTACGTGTCCCACGAATCCAAGCGGTAAGGTAAACATCATACACTCCACTTACCGCATTAAAATCCATCATCGTTGGTACCTATTCGCATGCTTTGCTTGTGATTGTTTTGAGGGAGGGTCTTTCCTGCTAAACGCGGGTCATCGACCCGAGACTCATTCGGACTTGCAAAAAACCCAGGTCTACCAGTATTCTTGTGATTTACATATGAGTCTGATGGACCCCAAAACTTGGACATGTGCACATGGTCCAGGTACACCAAATAAAAATGTAAAAAATAATACACATAAAAGAAAGGGTCATAGTGTGTTTGCCATATTCAGTGAACACTACTCATTTGAATCAGTTCAATCTGGGTTATCCGGCCTCTACTGTTCTATAGGCTGAAATTTTTGTCACACATCTATCAATGTATCCAAGGCATCCACCTTAAACAATTAAAGTGAGGCTCATCTTCAACGTGCACTCAAAATGCACTTTTGGTGCTGGAAATCTTATGACTATGTGAAAATCTATTTTCGCTCCCTAATTACAAAATTTAAAGTTCGGAAAATGTTTCAAATCAAGTAAATATATGAACATTAGAAAATCTAAAAAATGGACGGTCCAAATAACATATTCCAAGTTGCAATATTTTCAGCACTTGAAATCCTTTTTTTTTTTGTATCCGTACCTGTTAGAGGTTGAGATCATTCATTAGAGGGTGGTCCATCATCATAACGGCCTTCTTTTGTGGATTTTAAGTTGCACCTTATCTCTCAGTATCAGGTTGGCACCTTATTAGCGAGAGAGAGAGGGAGAGAGTCTGTATACTAGTTTATCGTAGAATATTAGCAGCCCCCCACTGTCCGGTGCCTAGTGGGGAAGAGTCGTTTACCCACCTTGAAGTACGCCAAAACGTGTCGCCGAGGTTTATGACATTGAGTGGAGAAATGACAGAAATTAATAGCTAGACAAAACTTTATCCGAAGACCAAAGTTTTTGAGGTGAGGTTTTGAATATTCGGGGTTCTTCAAAATGTGTACCAAATGCTACATGTTGGCCATTAGATCAGCCTAGATTGATTATGGGTGTTGGGCTGATACTGTTGCATTAGCCCATGGCTAACAGAAGCTACTGAGAGAGAGAGAGAGAGAGAGAGAGAGAGAGAGAGAGAGAGAGAGAGAGAGAGAGAGAGAGAGAGAGAGAGAGAGAGAGAGAGAGAGAGAGAGAGAGAGAGAGAGAGAGAGAGAGAGAGAGAGAGAGAGAGAGTAGAGTAGAGTAGAGTAGTAGAGTAGAGTAGTAGACGTACGAGTACGTAGTAGAACGTA